CTTAACTGATGTTGCTGCTAGGTGAATATTGACATTTTGCTATTGTTATAAGGTTAAAATGCATCTCAATAACATCAGAAAATGGTAACAAAATTGTAAGAAATCGAACCGTTGATAACTGCAATGATATAGCTGCATTATATATATAACGTTCGTGACAGAACCATTAGCTAGAACGGAACTAATAGAGAAATGACATTTCACATGATTTATCACCAGAATGTTTCCAAACACTTCGTATTTTAGGATTATTTCCACATTTTCTTCGATTAGTTAATGAATCATGAATGAGCTAAGATACTTTTCATTTGCAGAATCAGGAGGTGAGTTACAAAATCAATAGAGAGCTCGAGATGCTCAATCTGGCACGATTACGACACACATGAGTTCATGGTCAGATCTAACTTTTATCGAATCAAATTGAGGCATCGCTACATGTGACAAAGAAAGGTTAAACTCGACCTCATTCAAAAGATACGTTTAGCACTAGTAGTGGTGCTCGGTGTTTGACAGAGACTGCGGCAGATCGATACCACTCTGTTTGACCAATCTATGATGAGTCTAGCCTGTCTCATGTAGAAGTTGTCTTTGATGGACTGGAGCGGTATTAAAAGTATGTGAGTATAACTTATGTTTTGTGTTTACTCCAGGCGAGTGCAAGGGCCGGTACATGACTGTTGATAGAGACAGTTTGGAGTAAGATAAGAGTCGATAGACCAATCACTCCTTGAATAAGATGACCCAATGCTGACCAAGCGAGTTGTTAGGTCATGGCTTACATTGCCTTTGACGACATGGAGCGACAATAAAATAGATAACTGTAGTAGGACTCAGTTAACCCCAAAACGCAGTTACGACACTATTAACACTGCTATTGTATTTTATCCTGCCATTGTCATTGTTCTGCCACTATATTTTGTACTGCCACTCCACTGTGTACTGCTGTTGAAATAACTATGTAGCTATTTGCATTAATTTGTAAACCAAGTTAATCTTATAATACACTTGTAAATTGTATTACATTTCTTTGTTATGTATTGGTTTCACACTGAATTCTTTTGCGTGTTGATGTCTGGGAAAACTTAATGTTACAATTTGGAGGTGGACACGTAACATTGCCCATTCCGTATGCACCACTGCAGCAGCTCCAGGTGAATTGTCGAACTTGACGGCCTAATATGTCCCACATATGTTCTATGGGATTATGATCTGGACTTCTTGCTGGCCAAGGAAGTGTAGCGATGGCATGCCTCCGTAAGAATACCAGAACACGTGATCTGTGAGGTCTAGCATTATCATCAGTTACAGGTCTAGTTTCCAACGCATGATTGTTCAAAAAGGGGATAACTGCAGTCTCCCTGATGACATGTTGATGTCGAGCTCCGTTCAGATCACCCTAGACAGTGATGATGTCAAGATGATAATTGAATGAACCTCATCCCCATACCATTCACGATCCCCCACCAAACGGAAAGGTCTCTCTTGAGTGTCGTTATGGTTGTATTTTCCTGCCTCAAAACACGTGAAATTGACTTTCATAAAAAAACGAACTCTTCGCCATGATGCGATATTCCAGTTTAGACGTTGATAAGACAATACCAAATGCGCCGCTTTATGGGCATGAGTGAACAAGGGACGTTTGACTGGTCTTCTGGCTCAGTACAAAATATCGTGGCAGTACAAAATATAGTGGCAGTACAATGACAATGGCAGTATAAAATACAATAGCAGTGTCAATAGTGTCGTAACTGTGTTTTGGGGTTAACTGAGTCCTACTACAGTTATCTATTTTATTGTCGCTCCATGTCGTCAAAGGCAAGGTAAGCCATGACCTAGCAACTCGTTTGGTCAGCATTGGGTCATCTTATTCAAGGAGTGATTGGTCTATCGACTCTTATCTTACTCTAAACTGTCTCTACCAACAGTCATGTACCGGCCCTTGCACTCGCCTGGAGTAAACACAAAACATAAGTTATACTCACATACTTTTAATACCGCTCCAGTCCATCAAAGACAACTTCTACATAAGACAGGCTAGACTCATCATAGATTGGTCAAACAGAGTGGTATCGATCTGCCGCAGTCTCTGCCAAACACCGAGCACCACTACTAGTGCTAAACGTATCTTTTGAATGAGGTCGAGTTTAACCTTTCTTTGTCACATGTAGCGATGCCTCAATTTGATTCGATAAAAGTTAGATCTGACCATGAACTCATGTGTGTCGTAATCGTGCCAGATTGAGCATCTCGAGCTCTCTATTGATTTTGTAACTCACCTCCTGATTCTGCAAATGAAAAGTATCCTACCTCATTCATGATTCATTAATTAATCGAAGATAATGTTGAAACAATCCTACGATAAATACAAAGTGTTCGGAAACTTTCTGGTGATAAATCATGTGAAACGTCATTTCTCTATTAATTCCTTTCTAGCTAATAGTTCTGTCACGAACGTTATATATATAATGCAGCTATATCATTGCAGTTATCAACGGTTCGATTTCTTACAATTTTGTTACCATTTTCTGATGTTATTGAGATGCATTTTAACCTTATAACAATAGCAAAATGTCAATATTCACCTAGTAGCAACATCGGTTAAGCTTGTCAAATAGGCCTAGACTGGATATCCAGGGTGAAAACAATGACCTTCATACACCTGCTGATCTGGATATAATGTCAGATGAGAGAAGCACGCTTCTGCTCCCTCATATAGTCTAAATACCTTCTAGAAGGTTCGTGACCATGCTGGGTTAGTCTCCCTGTTCTAGAAGATTTCAGATTACACTTGACTCCACACCACTGCTTACATTAGATAGTACTACATTCCTGACAACTAACCATTCCGCTGACCACAAACCTGAGATCCAGAATTTCCGTCGACACCCAATCTCATCGAAAAAGTCATCTCCTCCGTACTCCATCCCACACCCTTGTCTACGACCTTCTAACTTGAACCCGCGCCCTTCCGCATCACATTCCTCTTCATAGGAAAAGCTTCCCTCATACAGCCAATATTGATACCTACCTCACTTGCTCCACCGCCAGTCATTACCCTACTTACTCGCGAAGATCAGAGTAGAACAGGTCAGGCTCGCTGACTTCGTTGACGCATGTCATCGTATCCCAATTGGGTAGATCGATGCTCATGATGTCAATCACTGGATTGTCTGGTCAAGACTCGATTATTTACAGACCACAGTCAAAGATTGGAATATTGCCGCGTGCGGCGTTAAACAACAAACAAACAAACAAACAAACATTACTATACTTAGAGCCAACGCCAGAAACACCACCAAAGCCCAAGAACACAGAGATGTAGTTTATTAGATTGACTTTGACTGTGGACAATCCTATGTAGGTGAAGTATCAACATCAGATTCAAAGAGATTCAATCACATCATCAATTGGGAAAACATCCAAATCTACTCCAGCAACCTCCCTCCCAATTGCGTTGATCGGTGCTCATGATATCAATCACTGGACTTTCAGGTCCAGACTCGATTATTTACACACCGCCGTCATATAGCTGGAGTGCGGCTTTGAACAACAAACAAACATACATTCACAACCCTTACAGTAATTTTGCCATTTCTTTTCACTAAATCATTGCTTTTAAGGGCGTAATCGGTGGGGTTAGTCGTTCAGCCATAATTATTTGGATGTTTGCAAGCGAAATATGTATATTTTAATCTCAGGTGTATTTTATCGATATATGTCTCCACGAAAACATCTCTAAAACCTTTTTGGATAATTTATTTTTAAAATAAAAGCTTATGAATGAAACAGATGAAAATAGTCCCGGAAAGGTCAAATTTGATGGTCTCAGCAAATCAAATTACAGGAAGGTTTAATGCCACATACTCGTATGTATCCTGACAATTTGCTATTTTACTCCTTTACAAACTGCTATGTGTGCTTCCGTTGACACCCAAACTCATCGACAAAGTCATCTCCTCTGTACTCCATCCCAGACCCTTGTCTACGACCTTCTAACGTGAATCCGCGCCCTTCCGCATCACATTCCTCTTCAAAGGAAAAGCTTTCCTCATCCAGCCAATATACGTCACTGGCTTCATCGCCCTCATTACCCTACTCACTCGGGGTAGATCCGGGGTAGAAAAGGTCTTCAGCAACCCATGTTTGTCGTTTGTCGACTATGCTTGCTGTAAGAGGCGCCTAACGGGATCGGGTGGTCAGGCTCGCTGACTTGGTTGACGCATGTCATCGTATCCCAATTTGGTGGATCGATGCTCGTGATGTCAGTCACTGGATTGTCTGGTCCAGACTCGATTATTTACAGACCACAGTCAAAGAGCTGGAATATTGCGGCGTTAAACAACAAACAATCAAACAAACAAACATTACCCTACTTAGAGCCAACGGCAGAAACACAACCAAAGCCCCAAAACACAAAGATGTAGTTTACACATTGACTGTGGATGTGGACAATCCTATGTAGGTGAAGCATCCCGCCCCATTAAAGAGCACAAAACTTCATCCATCAAATCAGACAGTAAATCAGAAAATGCCCCCATCACATCATCAATTGGGAAAACATCCAAATCTGCTCCAGCAACCTCCCTGACGTCTCTTAAACGAAACTAGCAGAAGCAGTCCACATTTGACGCCACAAGCCTTCTGTAAATAGAGATCAAGGCTATGTCATCCCATCCGCGTGCGATGAACTCATAAAGCAACAGTTTTTGCAATCATACCACCAAGTAATTTAATCTGGTATAAATGGCTTCCTGTTAATTGACTTCCTCATCGCGTGTTCTCTGTCCATCATTTTGTTACAATTGTTGTTCATTATTAGTTAACTTACTCATATTTATCATATATAATTCTGTACCAAACATATATTTCGACAGAGAGCAATATCAGTAAAGAGGAAACTCAGTTTACACCAGATAGAGGGGTTGTGGTTAGCCTACTGGTTGAAGCGTTCGCTCGTCACGCCGTAGGCCAAGTTTGCTTCCCCACATGGTTACATTCTGCATTCATATTGCAGGAATATTGCTAGAAGCTAAATTCACTCACTGCAACGGATAGAATGACGACGTGACATTTAGTGTGTTTTTTTTAATTTATTTCTTTTTGGAGTACACAATCAATGCGTTTACAGTATATAGTTCACATACAATCTTGAATGTATACAAGTTACAAAGTATATCTTTGGGTAAAAACAGACAAAACTATTCCAGTGTCAGTGACATTTACTTTGTGTCGTGTTACTTACAATCCAATTCTCTAATTTGGGATATTGTTAATTTATAATTTACAATAGTAAACATATCTGGAGAAAATAGTAAACTTATTGTGGAGACCTAGGTCTGGTGCACACTATGAGCAACTGATATTCGTGTTCCACATACATAAAAACTATTCAAACTGTACATGCACATTTTCCAAACTGAAGCTTATGCGACTCAATGTCACTGATATAGTATCTATAAATCAAAAATGATCAAGATATGCAACATAAAAATTACAGTCCACAGATAAAACAGTAAACTTTGATAGTTATGTAAATCTGGTAGTATATTTGCAAATAGATACTATTGTTATAAGGTTAATTGTAGCAAATTCAACCGTTCAAAACTGCAATGAGGAGTTGCATTAGGTATACAATGCTCGTGAGAGAGTACTTTGAGTTACAAAGGAATTAACAGAGAAAGGACATTTCACATTTATCACAAGAGTATTCTGGACATTATGTATTTATCATTGGATTGCTTCCACATTATCATGGATTAGTAAATGAGTCATGAATGAAGTTAAGGCATCCTGTTATTGTTAATGACGTTTTCACAATCAAACAACAAGACATAAAGAAAATATGGCATACAATATTACAATATGTGTTTTCCAATTCCTACATGAAACATCACATGGTTTGATCTTCAATCTTATCGATGAACCATCGGTCAGCTGATACGACCAGCATATGTGGCTTAGCATCAATTTTCACCCAGAATCCCCACCTTGGACATGCCATCATGCAGACGATAAGCATAGTTGCCATTTACGGCAAGCATGGGTTGCTGAACACCTATTCTATCCCGGATCTTCACGGGTCAATGAATCATAAAGAGTAAAAGGAGGAACATGTTCATATGATAGCAACAATGTTGACGCCTCTGCTGTTACGCACAGTTTCTCACCGCAAGCATCCAGCCTTCTTCTCCCTTCTCTCTCATGAACCAAGAAACATCTAGGTACCCAGATTTTGAAAGGTGACAGACATCGCCACCAAATTCATGAGAGCGATCGTAGGTAAGACATGTAAATGCTTTCTCACTGCTGCACATTTCAGAACATTCCTTTGCAGTTTTATTTCTTTCTGTTCTGTCATTGTTGTCGTGTATACATATGCCTTGGTATGTGGTAAATCCATTGCCATACTTTTTGCAACCTGGAAAATATATTGTCCAACAAACAATATTGCAAGTAAGCACAGTGAGAATATTTGTAAATAGAATAGCATGAACAACACATTTGACCTTTCCGATCAAATGACATGTTCATCTCATTGAGTGATCTAACACAGTTGACATGATCATTAGTACTGCTGACAAGCTCAGACAATTTCTGTGTACGTCATCAGAATCGCAGCCACAAAGGCCTTATTATATTAGGCATGTATGTTAAAAACTGACTCACGTCTTACACAACTGTTGTTGTCAGGGTTGAAGCTGTACCCTGGTACACACTTGCAGGTCTGGGTGAAGCACACGAAGTTCCTGGCTGCTGGACAATCAGAGTTCGTTAAGCATCCCGATTCCAGGGTGCTGCTTACAGTGTGACCTGTGCATATCCGCAGTTGTGTCAGGCTGATGTATGTCAGTCATTAACCATACAAATATATTTAGAATGGCAAACGTTATTCATATTCAAACTAAACTTTAATTCACATTGTCCAGTCCCGAGCGAAAAAAATAAAGACTAAACTTGATATGAAATAGAATGCACGATTGTGATTTCTAATTATATTCAATGATGAACTTTTCTTGACAGACAATTTATTTTAGTTACAGGCCACCGACCGATAATACAATAATATAGAATGATAAATCACGCATGCTGAAGTAAAATACACACGCACACGCACATATGTTCTCAACAACAAAGGTTCCTGTGACACCAATATTTTTGTGTATTTTTCAAGTAAAGTTTGGTTTAGTATGGAATCAAGTCACAAAAACGTAACTGTTACAGAAAAGCATGCATTCCATGCAAAAGTTGACTTTTATGCAAGCCCCATTCATTTCACTACCCAAGAATGGGTATAAAACATGTGCGTTAACGGGATTCGATATGCATTGTTTAGCATCGTGCCGACAACAACCAGTCAGAAAAACAACAAAATTACACAATTATTAAAAATTACGAAATGCCTCGCCTGTCCAAAAATGAGCGTCTGTGAGCCATTGGTATGCTTGAAGCAAGATCGAGTCAACATGATGTTGCAGGACAATTTAACGTCTACAGAAATACCATTTGGTGTTTATGGCAAAGTTGGCAACAGTCGAATGCCGTCAGAGACCATCCTCGGAGTGGCAGGCTACGAGTAACCAATAATCGACAAGACAATTGGATTCGAACAACACACCTACGAAATCGATCCCAGCCAGCAACAGTGACTGCAAGAAGCATCCCTGGCCTTCGACGAATATCTTCACAAACCGTACGTCGTCGTCTCAGATGTGCAGGGATTGTCGCCAGAAGACCCGCCAGACGTCCCATTTTGACAGGAAACAAGCGTCAAGCACGTCTACAGTGGTGCAGACAGCGTCTACGCTGGGACGGCCATGCAGTGGGGCCAAGTTCTTTCCACTGACGAGTCTCGTTTTCACCTCAGCCACAGCGATGGACGGATCCGAGTGTACGGACGTCAGTCATTGTTTCATGGAAGAAGATCAGTTCGGGGGCGGCAGCGTTATGGTATGGGGTTGGATTACAGCAAGACAGAGGACACGTTTGATAGTGGTAGAAATCTCAATGGACAGTCCTACCGCAACGAGATCATCGGCCCTGTTGTTCTACCGTTTTTGCGTTGTCATGGCCCAGGCATTACCCTTCAACATTACAACGCCCGGCCTAATATTGCTCGACTTGTTCAGGATTCTCTTCAGCAAACCAACGTGAATGTCATCCCCTGACCGACTTGCTCCCCTGATCTCTCACCAATCGAGCACATGTGGGATGAGATGGATCGGCGCCGTCGACGTCAACCACGTGTTCCAAAGACACTCCAGGAACCTCGAAACATGCTCCAGTAGATATGGACAGATATCCCACAGGACTTTGTGCGACGCCTTGTCCATTCCATGAGACGAAGATGTGTTGCTTGCTTGTTGTGGACACACACGCTATTGATTTGTAAATTGACATTTTGGCATGTTCATGTTTTTTTATGAAATCAAGCATTTTCTGTCAGTATGGCAAATTAAAGCATTTGAACACTTACAGGAGTCTTTTATCGGTTGCAAGCCGAAATTGTTTCAGATTTGGTAAAACTTAACTTTGCATTAAATCTTATTCAATGTCACAGGAACTTCTGTTGTTCAGTAATATATACCAGCCACAAAAAAGAATCTGTGTATTGTCTGAATTATTTCTTAATTCGAAAATATAACAACGATGAAAAGTTTCCATGTAAACTAAAATAGGTGGATATTGAGATCATAAGAAGACGGCAGAACAGCATGTTTAATGTCCATGACGTTGACGTTACGAGTCAAATTGCGGGGCAGGGGTCAAGCAACAATGTCACAAACTCAGTGAAGGATATGCCCAACGTGTGCAGCGATAACAGCAGTGCATCGCAGGCGCCGAGTCTATCTAATGGGCATTGCGGAATGTCTGGGCATATTCTCTGTAACTCTGCTGCCAAATTACGAACGTCATCTGGCGGATTTGGTACACGGCGAGACGTCACTCCATTTCATCCCACACGTGCTCTGTTGGGGAGAGATCCGGTGAATTAGCAGTCCATGGCAGTACCTGAGCATTGTGCTGTTGAAGAAAAGCCATAGCAACCCTAGCCACGTGAGTCCGGGCATTATCCTGTTGGAATGTCAATCCTGGGCCATCACGTTGAAGAAACGGAGTTGCCAGTGGTCCGAGAAATTGATTTCTGTAGCCCACACCTGTCATATTGCCCTGTACAACAACTAAAGAGGTTTTCTGAAGTGCACTTATCCAACCCCAAATCATCATGGAAGAATCTCCCGAAGAGATTCCTCTCCATGACACAGGATTGAGCACATGTTGGAAATGTTAAGTCTGGACTCGTCTTTAAAAACAACGGTCCTCAACTACAACCGAGGTGATTTCGGCACCACCGCCTCATGACATTGTGCAGTGGTGAGTCGGGGCATGATGTGCGGTGCATAAGCCGTTTACTTTCCGAATGATCAAGCGTCAAACTGTTAACCTTCCCAAATCGACAGCAGCTTTTGACATTCATCTGCCCCACGAATTGTATCGAGATGCACATGCACAAACGTGTTGCACGTTCCCATGCCGAAACCACTGACGTCACGAAACGTATCACACGCATGTGTGTTCAATTCAATTCTCTAATTAATGTGTTTGCATCTGTATGTGTGTACACATGTAGTTCCGATATATGTTTTGATGTCCTTGGTGCAGCATCATTTTGTGGCTAGTATATATTTCATTCATGAAAAATAGGTATTTCGTATTTTTTAATTTGGAGGTTTTTGCAAAGTATAACCCATGTGAGCTGTGTGAAATTTGAGATGGATATTCAGTGTAATATGGTGGGAAGTGTTTTGTTCTTATAATGGCATATCGTTCACATATAATCAATATGCGGTATTAATATACAATGTCATTTAGAAAGTGGTCAAATGTAACAAATGTTATCTTTCGGATAACACTTGCTCAGTAAAGTCCTAGGTTCTATTACATTTGACCACTTTCAAAATGGCATCGCTATGTGTTCATAGCTTTCGACCAAAGGAGCCGTGCCAATTTACACTTGTCAGAGGAGTACACAAAGTAGTGATCTGGACTATCAGTTGTCGGAATTTCAATTTGTGGAAGCCTCGGTGGCTGAGTGGGTTTGATCGTTAACCTAGTGTGCTGGTGATTAGGTGCCTCACTCTGGGAGTATTGGTTTGAATCTCGGAAGGGATCTACATCTAGATATACATCCTCACCTACACCCTGAACGTCATACACACAAGCACCTTCACCCTCTCCCCCATCTACATCCTCACTCACATCTTTTCCCTCACCCTCGCCATTTTCTAAGGCACACCTCAATTACACGCTTAAGCATGACGGCATCCTCATCTACACCTTAACCCTCAGACCGTCTCCATGGTCTTGTGGTAGAGCCTCTTCCTGGAGAGGGGAAGGTCCGGGGTTCGTTCCGCTACCGCGTCATACCAAAAGACGTCAAAAGATGGGACATTAAACCCCATTTCCCCTCAACTCACCTTAACGCTCAGTTACACCCTCAGCTTCACCTACATCCTAAATATTATTTACATACTTACCTTTATCTAAATCCTCACCTACATACTCACCTCACCTACATCGTCTACAACGTCAATGAACCTAAACCTCATTGACATCCTCATCCGCATCACTATCATCTGCATCCCCATCTACATACTCGCCCTCATCTACTCCCTCAGCCATGTCTGCATCCGAATACAACCTCACCCACATCTATACCTTCACCCAAATGTACATTCTCACAATTATCTACTCAATCACCTAGATCCTCGACCTCATCTACACCCTCATCCACATCTGTACACAGCCATATTTGCATCCCACTCTCATCTGCACCCTCCACCTCATCTACAACCACATCTATACCGTCACCGAGATCCTCACACTCATATTCACGTACCCCTTATTCACTCCCATACCTGCGTTTACACCTTCATCTACACCCTCACCCACATCTATATCCTCGCACTCATCTGGACATACCCCTCATTTACACCTTCACCCTCATCTACACCCCACCCTCATCTACACCCTCACCCTCATCTACACCCTCACCCTCATCTACACCCTCACCCTCAGCTAAACCCTCACCCTCAGCTACACCTTTAGCTTTTAACAACAGGCAAAACGTAAATCTTTGAAGATTCGAATATTCTATAGATCAATGTTTGGCATCCATTTAAATACTGATCACAACTGATAGAAAGGATAAATATGTAATGAAATACAATCACACATAACTTGATTTTGATACTTTGATGGCTAACAGAACTAACATTTGCGTTACATTATCTGTTTTCTGGCCAAGGTATCACAGTCTTTTCCACTGATGCCATTGAAGCGGACATAGCCAGAGAAAATGTGAGACACAATAAATAATACATGCCTGATGGAGCAGGCTTAACCTCTTCTATAAAGAACAGGAGGTGCGCCCTCGACGGAATCGGCAGTTGGTACGAGACAAGGACAGCGCTGTCCTTAAGCAAACCATACTCAAATCTTTAGAGATTCTACCCCATTTGTGAAAATCCTGAAGCTTCGAGGTACACAGATGTGTACAATCGGGAGGCTGAAGTTGCTGGTATTGCCTAACCGGCTCTACTATAATTATATTTGTCAATGACATCCATGAAAGACAAGGTTTTCTATCGGATCTTCACACAGCTTGGCATGTAAGTCAGGACCTTATGTTTGCAAATTCACATGTCAAGTGCACATGTGAAGTTCAAAGAAAGAAGCTAAGAGAACTTCACTTGTTTGACAGAGCTGTCAACAGAATGTAAGGAAATATTCTGGAATGATAATGACGCCATGTGACTTCCTGGTCTCACGTTTATCAAAGGTTTGGTTTGGTTTGTTGTTGTTTAACGCCGCACTCAGCAATACTACAGCTATATGACGGCGGTCTGTAAATAATCAAGTCTGGAACAGACAATCCAGTGATTGACATCATGAACATCGATCCACGCAATTGGGATCGATGACCTGCATCAACCAAGTAAGCGAGCCTTTTACGACAAGCATAGTCGCCTTTTACGGCAAGCATGGGTTGCTGAAGACCTATTCTACCCCGGAATCGTTTATCAAAGGAAACAATGCTATCTGATGAATAAATGGTGTATGTATGTCCTTCTCATGGATTCGAAAATCGAAACTTTCATTAAATCTTACAATACAGTTGGGCAGAAAGTATTTATCAGATACAGCGTTTTGTATGTTAATATTCTAAAACTGATATCGAGAATGTCTTATATAGCAAACATAGTTTAAAGTCCCCATGGCTTGGTAATAAAAGTAGTCTTACCCTCAACACAGACTGCGCCACCACGACGTCTCTCCACACAGCGAGTATTCGATTTGCAGTTCACCAGGGAGCACGCACCTGCTGAAAACTAAAACAAAGATGTTATAAAACCAGCTCCAGTAATGCTATTGATCTTGTCCATGATGTCATATTATAGAAGTCGATGTTTGTGAAGAACAAGTTTTCTTCTATATAATCTTCTCATTTAATACCTTCCAATGCTTCAATAAGTGTACGGTATACCAAAAATATGGCAGGAGAAAAGCAGAACTGTTTTGTACTGTGGACTTTTATTGCTGAATTTCATGTTTGAACTTAGATGATGTTCCATATAATTACCGAATCAATTCCTTGTGTTGCGTTCCGACTTCCAAATGAAAAATCTAAATGAATTGATGGTGTAACCAACAAACAACAAGGGCATGCTATTCAATTAACAATTATATTATAAAATTAACTAGGTTAACAAATCAATATAAATTACTGCAAAAGTAATAACAATGGCAGAACACAATAGAGTGGCAGTGCAATTGCAATGGCAGTATAAAATACTATAGCAGTGGCGAAAGCAAAAATGTCAGTGATAATATTTTCCAGCTGGCAGCAAAAGTATTAAGGTTTCCAAAGTAGACCTTGGCTGGATATCAAGGGTGAAAACAATGATATTCACACAACTCCTGGTCTTGATGTAATGTGAGATGAGAGAGACATCCCTTCCCCCTTATATAGTCTGTATACCTCCTAGAAGGTTCTGTACCACGCTGGATTAGTCAATTGACTCCAAAAGTATTTAAATATGGTAACCTTTACATCACTGCTTACATTACACAGTGAGTGAGCGAGTGAGTTTGCTTTCATGCCGCTTTTTACATTATTCCAGTTACATCACGGTGTGTCTGTTTAATGTGGGAGGAAAGCCCGAAGTGATACAGGTCTCAGACGTCTACCATTTCGGTGAAACCCACGAGCACGGGTATGGTGCAGACAAACCTAAAAACATAATCGGGGAGAACCGAGATTCGAGCCCACAAACATGTTTCTAGCATGCCCCAGGGACGCAACTCTGCATTGCGAATCGCGGCGCCTTACATGACTGGGCCACCCATGCCCCCTTATTACACATTTATAAACATCCCTGGCAAACACAATGCTATGAACTTCTATTGCATCTCGACAAAAACAATGCAGCTCACAGGGAGTAGATTTTGATTTTCAAACTTAAAAACAAACTTACTTGATCTTTGTTCTTCGGGTAAGTAACAGTTTCCATAATCGACCAACTCCCTACATCGTCGTGAGAAAAATGACACGCTAGTCTGTCAATGTTATACGCAAAACTCATACATAGGCCGCTTTGGATACATTTAACGGAGCAAAGCTTGATTCCAATACCAAGCACTACTTTTTTGTCTGCCGATTGTCCAAGGGTGAGGGAAAAGCAACTGAGAAGTACAGCTAGTAGTACCATCCTCTCAACGCTTCTTAGGTTCAATTGCACTACAGTCTCAGAGTATATCAGGCCTCTCTGAACGACGCTAATCAGTAGGAGCCCGATGCTGCCGTCGATGTCCTACAACACAGATGCACTACCTCCTCAGAATATATCACAGCCCCTGGATGGCTCGGTAGAAACAATAGGTGCCTCAAGGCTAGCTGTATGAGGTCTCATTCCATCTGTAAGTACTATGTTAATGGACCAGACATTGATATATGACATGGATATTCACTGGGACATGACAACATAAGTTGGAATAGCTATTATTAAAGACCTTGATTGTGCATTACACTCCATTAGGGGGGACATATATAGTAATATGAATACAATTTGTTTATATTGATCCTATAGAGCATGTTTTATGTGTCAAGTGTAATATCCGGTTGTCTCTCATCGAGTGACGGGGGAAAGGAGATATTTTAGCCACGAGTGGAAATATCGCCTTTTCCCGTCATGACTTGAGCGAAACGTGATATTTCACGAGACACAGGAAACACCCTATTTATCATATGCTTTTTTGCGTAGTTGGAAATTACATTATTTCATTACAAATGTAAAACTTTGAAGTGTAAGTTCTCCCTACCTAACACACAGGGACGTTTCACCACCCTTTGTATTAACAAAAAATATTTAAGGTCACGAATATTCTTTATCATGCATTTAGATATGATTATATACAAAATCAACTTTAACAGAAAATATTCTTTTAAAAGCTACGAGACTGCATTTCGAAGCAAAAGAATACACTTTTTTCAAGAAACAAAAATGGCGCAGTGCGAAACTATAAGTCTCGATTGAGGAGTTAAATGAGAAATATACAGTTTATAACAAAACATTTTAAAGAGAAAACCAAACGACAAGAACCGACATTAACTCCAGAAATGACCATCTGTAATATTTTAACCTTGTCAATGGGGAACTAACGTAACAAGTCAACAGTTTGACTACGGGCTAGACACTTATGAGTGAGTTAGTGACTTTAGATTTATATTCACATCGGCAATAGTTCAGACACATCGTGACTATATCAGGTTGTTCAGTAATACTACATAATTACAGTTGATACAATCTGCCGACAAAGGACAGTGAAAGCACTAGATTATCACAGTTGTAGAATTAAAAATGTGACTATTACAAACGAGACATTGTAAATATGGTCTAGAGATCACCAGCAACTAGGGACCAGGTACATATGCTCCCTTCATGGTGCCCCAGCAGAATTTACAACATCCCACTGGCCACTGGTGATTGTTAGAAAGTTTAAGCCAAAACATTTAAAACCTACAATTATTCTACGATTAAAACCATGAAAAATGAAGAATACTTTGAATGAAATTGGACTTACGTACCCTCTCAAGGGGCCAATTATTGTACGTAACTTCAACAGCCTTTGAAGGTACAGCAACTAACAATCTCAGTTATCAATTCATTCTATCAAATTAAAATCACCTACTTTTTACAAAACATATGATCAAAAGTTATCAATCAACTATATTTCTTTTAAAAACCCAAGAATTAAACGAGAACTTACATTAAAAAGATCCTTTATGGATGAAACCTAGAAATAATGACCCCTTGTGATGGAAAAATCAATACAGTCAAGCAGGACGTACTTGACCGTGATTCTTTCATCACAAGGGATGCAGAATGGAGGATCTTCACCTTTTAATAAATACTCATGTGTACAACGAGAATGGAAAATACCACATTGTCGCATAATGACCTCTTCAAATCTGTACTGACAACCCAAATAGGTGTAACCGTTAGTTGGTTTTATTGCACGTAATTTATTAGTACCTACTTGGGTGTCCCACTTCTTTTGCATTAGGTCTTTGATATAGCATTTAATTAAAGGGTTGTACTTGCTGTATGGTACAAAAAGTGGTGTCAAAAATTTGTTGAGAGCTGCCTTTGCTGCTGCATCAGCCATTAGCATCAGTGAGTGAGTATGGTTTTACGCCGCTTTTAGCAATATTCCAGCATATCACGGCGGGGGACACCAGAAATGGGCTTCACACATTGTACCCGTGTTGGAAATCGAACCCGGGTCTTCGGCGTGACGAGCGAACGCTTTAATTTAACCACTGGGCTACCCGACCACCCCTTCATCAGCATCAGCATCAGCCATAGTGATTCCAACATGACTGGGCAACCAGCAAAAGACGATGTCGTATTGGCCAGTAGCAAGGTCATGCTATAGTTCTAAAATATCTAAAATGAATGGATGTGTTGATGAGCTCGAGATATTCTTGACCATCACTATCAATCTTCAGTGCAACATCACCATATCCATATTTCTAAGAGGACGAACATAACAAAGGCAAAAAAGTATTGTGTTATTCCACCACAACGTGTTAAGAATGGAGTCGGGAGTTGTCCAACCATGTTGAACAGTTTCCCAAAGTTCGTTTATTTCAGTTTGTATCACAGCTTCAGCAACTTACGGTAAGTTCCCCATACTTTTACATTTGACATTTTCTAATTTTGACATAAACACCTCACGTGCATAAGGGGCTAAAACAAGGGCTGGTCGGCTCCTAGTCAGTATACTAGTTGTGTGTGAGTGAGGTATTCATGTAAAACTGCTAGGTGTCTCATTGAGCTTGCACTATAATATCAGCATTAGTCCGGAGTAGTGTATGCGCATCGCTGTATAAGTGCAATAATATTGAACGCGACGTTAAACCCTATTTCACCTCACCTCCGGTGATTAAGGATCGTTGTGTGTACACAAAAGTGGAGTACTGACGATGTGTGATGTCATGGTTTGGTTATGTTATCAGTTTCTGGCATAGCGGCCCCCTGTAAACTGAGATATCGCCATTCACTAAGTCGAGCTGCGTCCCTTGACCATGTCAGGATACACCGGTCGTGGACTCGAATACCAGGTTTTGTACTATTACGACTTTCGTTCAAGGGGAAATTGATATGAAATATCAACAGGCCTTTAACTACATGTGAAAATAGTTAGTGTTACAAATACTGATGGCACATGTTTCAGGTGGTGATCATTTAAAAGCAACAGCTCTGGCCATCGTGTTCATGATCAAGCTGATGAAAGCCCAGGAACTGCCTCTTGTGCTGGACAGTCAAAGGGAAATAACTCCAGGCTCACGCGATCACAGTCGGACAGTGAGACATCCGAGCACTGCAGTCATGCCCTGAAACGGGGAAGCTATGAATCTGTGAAATATTAAACCTACAAATCCGTGAAACATTGACTCGGTGAAACTATGGAAGATTGACTCCATGAAGTTTTGTCACATTAGTTACATGAAGAGGTTAGCAGGTGGCAACAGACGCTATGAAGTTTCTAACTGTGAAACATTGACGCTATCAAGATGTTAGTTATGAATCTGAAAGTTATTTGCTGAAAGACTATTGAAGCTACGAATCTGTAAACTGGAAAGTATTGATGTTTTGAAGCTGTTCTTTGAAACATTGTCGCCATAAATGTTTCAGCAGCAAACACACTCACATGGACGCTACGAAGTTCTAAGCTGTAAAACATTGACGCTATTGCTACGTATCTGTTAATTGTAAAGCATTGGCGCCATGTAGTTGTTAACTGTAAAACATTGACGCTATGCGCCTGTTAACTTGCTACAACATCACGGCG